AATGCTGCTCAGTGTTAAAGAATGATGAACAATCTGTGAAACACGTCAGAACACGGATGAACCTGAACATCATGCTGAGTGAAATAAGTCAATCACAAAGGACAAACATTGAGATCACTATTGTAAAAGGTCAAGAAACGTTTCACACTAAAAAGGATGGAAGGAAAAGAGAAGGTAAATGACTGGCTGGAGGGTAGACACACATTAACTTGGTTGACTCAGCTCATCTCACTGCCATCCAGTTGATTCTGACTCCTACTGACCCTTTTGGACAGGGTAGTACCAGCTCTGGGAATTTCAAGACTACAACTCTTTACGGAAGTAGAAAGCCTCATCTCTCTCCTGTGCAGCAGATGGTGGTGTCGAACTGCCGGTCTTGTGGATAGCAGCCCAATGCATAGCTCACTACACCACTAGGGCTCCCCAAACTTAGGTGAAGGGGAAATCGATAGCAATAAGAGGGAGATTAGCAAAATATCATGGAAGCAGATGAAGACCCTGGGAGGAGTGCAGGTGTTAATAGAGCTCAATATTGTTATACACAATCCTGTGAGAGCAGTTATCTGCAAATGCATGCATGGATAGACACACAGGCTGCACGGGTGTAGGAGGAAGAGTGGGAGTATACCTATGTGTATATCTAGATTTGACAAAGTATATTTGTGCATGTGTAGATTAACTTTGCTGCTGATATATCCATGAATGTGGAAAAGTCCACAGGGGCAAAATTATTAAAACATCTTAGACATAATCAAACACCTTGATAGATTGAGTCACTGGGCCTGGGGGTCTCAGGGAACACCAACGTCAAAGGGCATGAGAAGAACATTAGGATAGTCTACATCAGCAGTTCTCAACCTGTGGGTCCTGACCCCTTTGGGGGTCGAACGCCCCTTTCACAGGGGTCACCCGACTCATAACAGTAGCAATATTACAGTTATGAAGTAGTAAGGAAAATGTATGGTCGGGGGCCAGGGAGGTCACCATAACATGAAGGCTCGCTACATTAGGAAGGTTGAGAACCTCTGGTCTACATCTTGCTTCAGTGAATGGCAACTGGGGTCTTAAAAGTACATGAACAGTCATCTAAGTGCAACTATTGGGCTCTCCCTGTCCAGAGGGAAGATCAAAGATGCATGGAAACAATCAGTCCAATAGACTAACGGGCCGCACGGACCTCAATCTCCACAACCCTGAGGTCAGAAAGAACTAGATGGTGTCTGGCTACCACTACCAACTGCTCTGAAAGAGATCTCATCGGAAAGTCCTGGATAGCATGGGAGTTTAATGTGCAATAAGATGTGTAATTATTGAAAGCAGACCAAGATTCGTGGTTGGGTAGACTGGGGGAGCCCCAAGACTTTGTCATTTCGTCACACTTCAGATCTGGAAGCAAACTCACCTCCACTGTTCAGTTTTGAGCCACACAAGCCAAGGGGAAAGAGTGACCCAACTAATCAGCCATTCGAGATAAAAAAGGCAGCCTTTACCCAAGGACAGAGCTCAGGTTTAGGAAAGGAGGAATGTTAACAGGAAACACGGGGAGAAAGATGATTATATTGTGGGGCTTGCCATCAAGGACATGAAACAATGAAACAAAATGTGTATTTGTTGAATGGAAAACTGATCTCTGTAAACCTTCACTCAATTCACAATAAGTTTTTTGGGTTGCTTTTTTTAAGTTGTGTTGAAAGCTGTCAAAAAGATTACAAGTAACAGCTGCTTTCCATAAGCAGGACATAATCATTTGACAGAAACCTGTTTTGAAAGTAGGCCGCAGAGCCACCTCACATTTGATCTACCAGTTGAAAGATCTAGCCTTTCAAGGGCTACTTATGAAGACTAACATCCCTCCCCATAAATGTTTCCACTGAACATCAGAAGACAGCTTATAGGTACCGTATATACTTGAGTATAAGCTGACCCAAATATCAGCCAAGGCATGTAATTTTACCACAAAAACTGCATTAAAAATGTGCTGAAAGAGGATGTACACTGGTACAGACAGGCACTGAAAATACAGGGAATCCAGGGCAGATGAGCCCTATAGGACCAGTGGTGTGAGTGGCAAAACAGGGAGGGTAAAGGGAGAATGGGTAGGAAAGAGGGAACC